CTGTAGCCCCATTGTGTGCCGCACTCTTCGCTCCTATTTATTAACTGACATTAACATGAATAGCTTACAAACATTTCACCAATTATTACAGAAAACAAGTCAAACAAATTCCATACAAGTTAAAGGAAATCAAGTGTAGAAATACGTCGCATCAAATTTAATTGACAGACCAGAAATTTCTTCGAATTCCAATCAAATACCAAATGCTGGTAAATTGGAAGAAAAACCATAAAATTGGCATAAAAGGAAGATGCAAGAAAAGCCAGAAAAGCATTGTAGAGGAAAATGTCGGAGCAATCTCTCGTGTACAACAATAACAAAATATCAAAGTCGTTGTCAAAAAACAATAACAACAACCAATGAAAATTTATACGTTTGCCATTGAAACGCCAAGCCAATGAGCACTTGTATTTATGTATGTTCGAGTGCACCAAAAGCAAACTGACCCAGTGCAATAGTGACCATGACCATGAATATCGCATAGCATACATACGTATATGTATATATATGATCAAGGATCAGAGAGGGGGGCGCTGGAGAAAGCATAAGCCCAAATGCGATGGCAACGTGAAATGCAATCCGAAGCAAAAATGTTAGCTTGGCGCCACCAATGCGGGAAAAATAATTGCTTCCGGAAGGAAACTAACATGACCGGTTTTGTAATGGTGGTGGTGGTGGTGATGGTGCTGGTGGTCAACGACAGTGGCCGCTAAATGTTGACTAGCCTCCTTTTGCTAGCTTGTAAGTAATGCCAACTCGTGGTGCTCGTAAAATGCTATGTTTAGAGCTCGCTGCTTGCAGCCTCACCGATTGCATTGCGATATGTCAGGTTGTTAGTTTTGCTTGCGGTGGCTGCTGTGTGATGTTATCGGCACAAGCAAATTACTAACGACGAAATTATGGTGTTTTAAAACTGGCGCAAGTGTAAGATAATTTGTTTGTTAATGCGCAAATGGCTTTGAAATTATTTATCGTGCAAAATTAATGTGACTTTTGCTGCATTTCAAAGTGGTTCGCTTTAAAATGTTTGATTTAATGTGTTGCAAATCGACGGCTGAGTGGAAGATCTCGGCAGCCAGTTCGAAAATGCCCTATCTCAAAAAAACTTAATTTTAAGTGATCACAGAGTCTAGGAAAACTGCTGCCAAAATCGCTTAGGCGGTGAACCGAATGCCTCACAGTTGATAGCAATAATTCAACTAATTTATTGCATCTAATTTTTAGAGGTATTTGGAACAGGGACCGAACATAACAGTTATTGATGAAAACTGTCATTGAAAAATTCGCTATGAAGGAAATGTTCTACAACTAAGTGAAACATACCAATCGATTTCGTTTTGCACCGAGACTCAAAAATATGAAAATAAATTTTTATTTGCAATTTTTATGCAAAATTAAAAAAAAATAACAATTATATTTGATTTTTATATTAGAAATCCAAAATAACAATTGCTTTTGATTTTTATATTATATGGCTTAGATAACAGTTATTGAAGAGTTTTATTTATAAAAGTCATCAATAAAAATCAGTCTGTAACTTTTACTTTTAAAAGTCATTAATATAAATCAGTGACTGACTTTTATTTTTTAAATCAATCGTATAAAAGTCATTAACATTTTTCGCAGTTAAGAAGGTGTTGGAAAACAAAAGTTCACTACGACTTATTCAAATTAAAGATCAGTGACTGATTTTTATTTATGACTTTTATAAATAAAAGTCTTCGATAACTGTTATTTAAGACATATAACTTAAAAATCAAAAATAAGTGTTATTTGTAGATTATTTAAATAAAAATAAAAAATAATTGTTATTTTCGATTTATAAAATAAAAGTCAGAAATAACGGTTATTTAAAGAGTAATTAAATAAAAGTCAAAAAATAATTGTTAAAGAGTGATTTTTTTTATAAAAGTTGTAACTGTTACGGTCCCTGATTTGGAATGATTTAAAGTTTGTGGAACGTATAGCCGAGAAAACAAGAGCAAAAGCCCAACCCAAAGGCAGCATTGGCTAATCTCTTTTCTCATGGCAGCCGAGTCGAAGAAGAAATCGAAAGCCTTTGGAACCACCTATTTCACAATACTCTCTTGGCGATAGCAAGAATTCGTTCCTGTCACCATTGCATGCTTGGTTGCCTGGCAGGCGGGCAGACTGTGGGCATCCATAAATTCTTACGATTTATTAAAAGTAACCATTCTAAGCGAATATTATATGCATTAAGTTTATTTAAGACAGAAAGATTTAAATTAAAGCTATGAAGACGTCGACACAGCAACCTCCAACTGGAGTCTAATAGACAGTTATGATTTTCAATTCAAGCAAAGATTCATAATTAATTTGAAATTCATTATAGTATTTTAAAATTTTAAAATGCAGTTCTTAGCTTAAATTGCCGTTTCACTCCCACACATGCACACACACACACACACACACTTCCTCAGCAAGAGGCCTTCTAGCACATTCACAGCTACATACTACCCGCTAATCAAAAACGGCAATCAGTGCATTTTTATCTTTCTCTCTCGCCAAAATTTATGTCAAACCAGCCGCCAATCAAACACTCACTCACGCACGATCATCATTCAAGCGCTCCAAACCAAGACAAGTCAAGCAGCAGCAACAACAACAAGGCAACCAAATCAACCATTTAACCCACAAATCGGTCAGCCGGCGCAACATTGCAATAGCAATTTATTATACCTTTTATACCATATATGTATAAGTATATATGCACCAACAGCAACAACAACCGGCAAGCTACCAAAAGGAAAAAAACAGGCAACTCTGCAGCCAAGAAAATAATAAATTTCCTCACTACACGCCAAATGACAAAGTAAAAGATAGAGGAAAGATTAAAGGCACACACATACATACATACATACATACACATGTGCGAGCGCGCATAAATGCAAAGCTTGCCATTCAAAGACTTGGCGGAAAACCCCATTTGAATATGTATGTACATACCCACATACCTACACAATAAATTGTTGTTGCTGCCGCTGTTGCTGTTGCTGTTGCAGCAGCTTCGAGAAAAAGTAGGTGAAGGTAAGATGCCAGCAAAGATAGTTTCACTGCCATCTCGATAGCTTATCCCCATTACGCCCCTCACCATTTTCCACGCTTCACATTCGTCTCGTACTTGCTGGCGTTGTGGGTCAATGCGCCAAAGCTGTTGTGGCGATTTCCGTTGCCACTGCCATTGCCACAGTGTCGCCCAGCTATTGCCGCGCCGCAACAAATGAATGCCTCTGCCACAAAAGCAGCGAATTGTGAATAAAAAAAATATGTGCTTGTACATACGTATGTACGTACATTCATATATGTATGTATGTACACGTATGTCAGCTATTTTTGCTTTTATTTCTATGCCGTATCTTGTTTATTGCTTTTTTTTGTTTTTGTTTTGTTTTGTGGTAATGCAAACTTCGTTTTGTTGATCATAAATGTGCCAGCTGCGACGTCATGGGGTCGCTGACACAACATACATACATATAAACATACATACATATGTATATGTACAGATACATAAGTACATTTGAGAGTGCTAACCTCCTCTTCTTCTTGTTTGGCGCTTTAACCGCCTAAGCGATCCTGGGTGAGTCCAAAAAAGCACGCCAGTAGTTTCTCTTCTGTGCCAACTGTAGCCAATTGGAAATGGCAATGGGAGCCAAGCACTTATCCACTTGGTCTTTCCATCGCAGAGGAGGCCTTCATCTTCATTTGTTACCAGCATCGCGACCCGCGCTGTTTACTTTCAGAGCTGGATCGTTTCTGTCCATTCGTACGACATGACCGAGCCAACGGAGCCGCTGTCTTTCTTTTAATCCGCCGTACAGCTCATCGCCAGATGTTTCCGTTGCTTTAGCCGAGTAGGCTGGCGTTCTAATTGCCCAATGATGATTGCCCGTGCCATTATATCGTCTGCCTTGCCACTCGCCCACGCAAACAGGACCGTAGATCTTACGTTGAATTATTTTATTCGAAATGTCACTAAGATTTCTGATCACCGTCCTAGTTTCTGCACGTAATTTTTGTTCTCCCTCTGTTATTCGATTGCCTTGGGAGCCCTTAAAAAGCATTTAGTTATTCGTCGCTTTGTTTGCAATCCAGCAGCATCGGACTGTAGGATTGATGCTAGATCCCAAATATATGTATGAATTCCTTTACAACTTCAAACTTAATAATAATAATAATAATAATAATAGATTAGCGCTTACACATATGTTAGTGTTTGGCCGAGCTTCTCCTCCGATTTGTGGCGTGCGCCTGGATGTTGTCAGGGACCTACAGTTTTACGCCGACTCCGAACGGCGATTGTATTTTTNGCAGAAATGCATTCGGAGGTTTACCATTGCCTGCCGAGGGACGACCACTATTAAGAAAAAACCTTCTTTTATATATTTTTTGCGATGTTGCTTTGACCAGGGCTTAAACTCAGGCGTCGCGGAGTGCCGGTTTTCGGGATGCCATTTTTGTGTGTGCTCCCTGATTGCTCGTTTACGAGGTAAAAGGGATTACTCGCCCTCCTAGGACATACAATAAACAATAAAGGGAGTATACAAAATTACATGGTTATACACCGAATCATAGGGAGCAATGGGGAGTATTCGTATACTCCGAAGGGAGTACTCGACGAGCAATCGTACGATGCCCCCAAGTTCTACCGGGTATGTACATACATATACATATGTATTATTAAACGTGCGATATGCCGAACTCACTACTTAACTCACTCCCAAGATACGCCAAACTCAAGCGCACTTTATAAGCAATGCACGACACTATTTTATAACCTCAAAATCTAATTCCCATCGTCGACACACCAATCCAAATGACCAATCAAAAGCAATCGAAATCGAAAAATTCTAAACGTGCGCCCGCATAAATTACTCAATTTCATAAAAATGAAATCAGAAATTTCCTAGCCGACCACCACACTGCTTCGGCAGTTATTCTGAACGGCAGTCGCATACTCACCACCCACACACCCATACCCATATACATACATACATGCATACTTGGATGTTTGCTATGTGAAACTGAAAATTAAGTTTGTCGATTCGGATAATTGAAACACCGCAATTGTGGGCGTTTCACTTCACTTTCTTCGGTGCGTAAATGAAGTGTAAAGTCGAACGCACAATAGATTTGTCATTCGCCGCGAACAGCCGTGAAATTACGCTTTCATTGGTGCAAAATTTTTTAAGTAAAATATTTTCATAGACTAAATACTATTTAGTTGGTAAAATATGCTTAACCATTACTTAATAATTTTAATTTTTGGCGCTAACCTATGCTCATACTGGGGCATGATGGCGCAGACGCTGAATGTATTTCGACCAGCAGTGCCGCCACCGCCACGCTGGGGTGCCAACATGCAAATGCTGCGGCGTCACAACAGTATGTGGTAACTATGGGAAGACAAACGCAATTATAAGAATTTGAATATCCAGTATTATTGAAATTTAAGGAAAAAATTTTGGAAGTTAAGTTGAAAGCCCAAAAATTTTTTTACATTATAGATGCTGCTTTTGAATTTTGGACTGAGGATAGTGACACAAATCTCTGGGAGCACTGCGGTCTATTCGAGGGCGATATTATGCTGCACCGCGATTGGTTGCGAAACGGTTTATTACGCGAGAAGTTTACCTGGCCAGATGCGACTGTGCCATTCTATATTGATAGTAATGACTTTAGTGAGTATATTGGTACATACATACGAAAAATTTTTATTGAATCCAAGTGGGAATCTAAAAGCAGCAAAATGTGAATTGCAAGTGACGGAGAAATTAGTCAGACAAAGCTGTGCAATACAATTTAAAATACTCTACATATTTAGGTAGATACGCACAAATCATGGTGAAATTATTCTAAATGAAGTAATTAGAGCGGGAAGAAAGATTTCGACACAGCCTTATTTGAAAATTTGCCTTGAAAATTTGGCTATAAGGCAGCCGAATGCCAGAAAATAAAGCGAGAAAGCTGATTTATTACTTCACCTGTCTATTGCACTATGAATACTACATTGTATTACCTTTTGGATGTATGTATGTATAGATTACTATACAAAAGACTTAAGCAACGAACTTGAAACACGAAAATCCTACTAATAGCTATTATTGTTGGGATCTTGCACGCTAAAACGACTAGACATATTTCAATGGAATTTGGCACACAGATAGTTTATGACCTCGATTTAGATTTTCGATATTTTTTAAGATTGTGGCAACCTTGAATTGGTGAATTGTTTGATGTGAGAACCAAATCAACAGAGGTTTGAGAAAGTTTAATTTCGAGAAGATTTCTGCTGAGGGCCCCACCTGTTTGGAAATTCTAAATCATTTAAATTAGCAAGTTAAATTAAACAATGTAATATGGGTTTCAAAGGAGTAAGCTTTATTTCTAAGATATTTCCAAAGAGGGCTGCCACTTATTTAGGAAGTCAAAATTAATTTAATCAATTAAATTAAATATTTTATATAAGCATCAAACGAGAGAGATTTAAGAAAGCTCTATTTTGGAAATATTTTTGATGAAGGTTGCCACCTGATTAGAAATTCAAAATCAATTTAATGAACAAGTTAATTTAAATATTTTAAAATGGTTTGTAAAGAAGCTTCATTTGGAAATATTTTTGAAGAGGGATGTCTCCTGCTTCTGCATCTGCTATAAGCTCTCCATTAACATCGTGTTGGGGCTTCCAGCGTTCTTTAGGCAGAAGTGGCTGATATCAAAGAGGTGTGGCAAACACTGCTCAAGAATGTGACGTTAGTAAGAGTGGTATGCATCTACTCTAGGGCTGGGACTATCCCTATATTCGGATATCCGTTCATGTATATTTATACGATCCGGTAAATATGCGTTAATTTTGTTATCCGAATATTCTAAACAGTATGATTAACTGATTCGTAAAATTGTTCTCGAAACTATTGAATCTATTAAGTAATAATACCCCTATTCGAATATCCGAATTATCGGGATACTCAAATAATACGGAGAGAACTCCCAACAAATTTACTCTAATAGCCAACCGGTAATCAGAGCACTCTGTTAGAAAATGTCTGTAACCTCTCTCCCAATTGCGTAGGAATAGTCTTTAATTAAACTTGTGTGAGTACGAGGCCATAGGGGCTTTGGGGAAAACTGCATTGCTGACGAGTTGGCACGAGGGGGTGCCCTTGAAATGATGTCCCCGAGCAGAAGGCTATCGATTACCTGTGGTTCCGTGGTTCACTCGTGATTAGTTTTAAGCTCGCAAGGTTCTTCTGGTCCAGGGTGAATTGGGAACGATCAAGGAAGATTCTTATGCCTGCAAAGCCACATCTCTCGGTTTTGGTGGGGGTTCTGAGAGGTCAGTGTCCGATCGGAATTTACGCGTTTAGATTCACATCTCAGCTTCCGCAAGGATAATATTCAAGCATCTTGGCACACACGTTGTAGTCGGCCCTGAGAAGCCCTCGGGTATTGATATTAGCCTTCTCCATAAATCGACATTGACTCATCAATCTCTATAAAGTTAAAGTGTGTTCCCAACTGGTGACGACCACCTAGCCTAGCCTAAGCTGACCTAACCCAACATACATTGTTTAGTTTCGCATACAAAATTGGAAACATGAAGAGCTCGATTTCACTTAAAAAAATCTGGAAGCACTAAAAGGAAAAAAGTTAAATTCTCGGATTAAGCAAAAAATTTGAAAAAAGAATACATACAAAGAAACACAGACATTTGAATAACACAATTTTCATACATAAGTTACGTTAATCACTCGACTACCCCACAGATCAAACGCAGATGATGGCAATTTTGGAGGCTTTCAAGGAATACCATGAAAAAACTTGCATCCGTTTTCGTCCCTACGAAAAAGGCGATACCAATTGGATAGTATTTAAAGGCAACTATTCCGGCTGTTGGTCCAGCGTTGGGCGTCGACAAGGAGGACAGGTTTATACATTACTTCAAAATGATTTTAAAATACAATTTTATCTGGCTCAGTCAAAAAAAATTTGCATTCATATATTATTAACCTATAGGTTCTCAACCTCAATACGCCACGTTGCGTTACGCATGGTGTCATTGTGCACGAATTGCTGCACGCACTGGGCTTCTATCACCAGCAGAGCTCGACTGAACGTGATGAATATGTAAAAATCAATTGGGAGAATATACTCGATGGACATGCGCATAATTTTAATAAATATGCGCGTACACACATAACAAATTTCGGCGTTGAATATGACTATCAGAGTGTTATGCATTACAGTTCGAAAGCGTTCACGAAAAATGGCAAGCCAACCATAGAGCCATTGGTAAATGCCTACATTTTATATTGTATACATATATTCAATTGCCTCTGACAATATTTTTTAGGATCCCTATGCCTCGTTGGGTCAACGCAAGGGTCTCTCTAAGAAGGATGTTTCAAAGTTGAATGAGATGTACAAAGACGACTGCAATGTTGATTACTTGTTTAGTTTTGATCAACTGGGCTCATATTTAGATGAACTTTTAGGTTATTTTCAAAACAGTTTATTCAGTCGAAATAGTCCAGAGGAACATACAAAAAAGTTAAGGAAGTAAATTCAATGTAAATTCGTACATTTTGTCGCATATGGGAATTATAAAAATTGCTGTAAAAAATATATAAAATATAGAAAGATGTAACTTAAACTAAAATCTCAATTCTTTTTTGATCGAGGCGCAGTTCATGCCTCTTATCTGTATTTTAACCGTAGAAAGTAAAGTGTCGCAATTCTTCCAAGGTACTTTCGGCGATCTGTGGTTAACAAAAAAAATTAAAGATTTTAAAAATGTATTCATCCGAAAAAAAAATGTAAGAAAATCTTGCGCAGGCCGTTGCAGTTTTAAGCTCACCTCTCGCAATTCCAGATTGTCATCGTCTGCTAACTCTTCAATTGCTTTTTTTATATCTGTACACCAAACACTTTGTAAACCGCGCAGACTAAAGCGCGCCAGTAAGCGAAAAAGCATACACATGCGCATGCGTATCAAGTCATCAGCATTGCCAAGCAACGCCACCATATTTAATTTGCTGTTGAATATGACTTTTTCCACCAAATCCGCATTTTCTGGCAACTCACGCAATACGCATATTAGCAGACCCAATATATTAGTCGAAATGCGCACAGCGTTCGCGTTTCGGAAATCTGAAAACAAAGCGTTTGTAACCAGTATGTACGTACTGTAAATATATTGCTGTTCTACCTACCATGTTGCAACAAATTAATCAGCAATTCATTCGCTGCCAAAATGGCAACTGCATCACAGAACTGCGAGAGAAATTGCTGCTTCAAATGCACTAGATGACATATCAATTCGTACAGACGCGAAATGGTGCGTATTTCTTCGCAATTAAGTTCAGCCATGGAACGCACTGCACGCCCTCCATGTGAATGCGTCAACGAGGCGCTCGAATCGCCGGTGCCTTTGTGACAAATCAGCAATTTAGAAGCATACATGAGATTTGGGACGAGCTTGACGTCGATATAAACCTTATAGCAATGCGAAAATTATTTAAACTTTACTTAGAGCGGTTCGAGTATAGTATGAATATAGGCTTACATTTTGTATTAACTCAATAACGCATGGAGACTCATCAGATACAAAGGGCAACGATAAGAGCTGTGCAACGCTATCCACCACTTTAGGTATAGCTTTTGAATTGCGTAACGGCGCCACTATGATGCTTACCTAAAGAGAAGGGAGGTGAAATGATCAGCAGAAAAAATAACGGTAGGTTTAAGCTACATTTCTTCAATCAAACGATAAATGTATTTACCAAATTGTGTTGCTTTAACGAGTCCATTTCACCGTCCAGCACTTCCTGCATTGTGCGATTTAAAAACGCCAACCACTCATCATTTTCAATAGGTGGACTTTGCGACTCGTCACATGAATCCCAGCCAGGCAGCAGACATGGTGGTGAATTTCTATAAAAAGTTATTTTAACATATTAAATTTACGTTATTTTAAAAGTTGTATACCCAGTGCTGCGCTTCTCATCTGCCGAATGCATTATACTCCTGTTACACTTTTGTTCTTTTTCCTTATCCTTATCTTTATCTCTGCGCTCTACAGTTTTGCGTGGTTCGGAATCGAATCCCTGTCCCAAGCGTAGCGAAAAATTATCCAAATTCTGACTCAGCTTACGTTTTTCCAAATCTTTGCTGCGCGATGCCTTAACATTTGTATTGGTAACCAAAGGTGTTTCTTGCAATTTGGTGCTTTCAGTTGGCGATTTTTTACTTTGCTGATGCGGCTGATGATGTGGCGGTGATGAATTTGTGTTTGCAGCATACATAAAATTATCGTTCATGTGATTGAGTATCATGTTTGTATTACCGCTGACAAAGCAGGTTTGCGAATTAATTACAGGCGCCGCAGCAGCAGCTTCCGTTACTATATTAAAATGAGGTATAATGATATCGACGTCATGGTTTTTGATAACTGAAGTATTCTTATAGGATTGATCAGCAAATGGAACCGTAACATTGTTAATGTTCTCTTCAACATCTGTTTCGAGATTCTCAATATCGCTTGGCGGTATTGCATTGATACTGTCACGTGAGGAAGTCATATTTTCGTTTGTGCAAAGGGAAGCGTTTGCGAGGCTCATTGAGGCAACTTGCTTCGAGATATCGTCCGTTTTGGAGCTGGAAAATGCATGTAAGATAGTGTAATTTAGTAAAACAAGATATTCGATACGCGTTTAACAATTATTCTACCGTTGGCTGCGAGAACATCTTGAGATCTTTTGTTTTTGTGGGTTTGTGAATGGTGAATTGTTAGCCTTGATGCCCGATATGAAGAGTTTGCCTTCGACAAACTGATGACAAAGTATTTCTGTCCACGATATGCGCAATGAGGGATCTTTTTCCAACAGACCCTGCAAATAAATTTATTTTAGTATAAAATGCGCACTAATATGTGACTTTTTTTAATTACCTGCAAAAAAGACCGGCAGTCGCTACTTAAAAAGGTTGGCCACTTCACCTCTTCATGTTTGATCAGCTTCACCAAGTGCAAGATAGATGTTGTGCAGAAAGGAGGCGCACCTGCCAGGCATTCATATGATATACATCCCAGCGACCATAAGTCCGCTTGGTGATCGTAAGGTTGCTCAGCTAACAACTCTGGTGCCATGTACAACGGTGTACCTTTTATGGAAGTCAAAACGTGTGTGCCCATAGTCATGTTGCGTGCCAAACCAAAGTCGCACAACTTGGCATGCAAATCCTCATTGAGCAATACATTTTGTGGTTTTAAATCTCTATGCAGTATACGATTCGAGTGCAGATAATAAAGCGCTGAAACTAAATGGCAAATGAGACGCTGCGCTTTATCCTCTGGCACAGCACCGTGTCGTGCAAGATACCGATGCAGGTCGATGGGGGCGAATTCTGTTACAACAATCAAATCGTTCTTTGTTTCGAATGACTCCAACATTTCAATGACATTTGTGTGCTTAAGATGCGCTTGTATTTCACATTCGCGACGGAGATTCTTTAGCTCGCGGCTGCTGCGACCACGCTTTAAAGATTTACAATTTTTGAATATGTATTAACGCCTGTTTACTGCATAAAGGATCTTGCTACATAATTCTATTTACCTTAGATATCACCTTAATTGCCACCACTTGTGCATCCTCTTTGCGTATAGCTTTGTATACGCGCCCAAAAGAGCCCTCTCCTATCAGCGAATTTACAGTATAGCGATTCATTACAACAGCCAAACTTGTAGTCTTTTGTCGATATTAATATGAATGAAATTCTATTTTTTAGTGTTTTATTTTAAATGTAATACAATGAAGTGACTGCATAGTTAAGCAAATAGTTTCTTATATTTTTTTTTAACAAATTAATTTATTAAAGCCGACAACGATTATAAAGGCAGTATACAGGATTATAAATTTTGCAAAAAGAATTATCAAAACAAAACGTATACTTGTTGCTCTACGTTTACGTGAACAGCTGGCCGGCTGATGCGTTAATTCAAACCAGGGTGGGCAGGTTGTTTTAGTACGTTTTGTTTTAAACTTTTAGCAACCCTGTACAAACATTAGGTGCGTTCGTTTAAAATCTCCAGCAGAAACCAACCAACTGCCAAATTCCGGCGAAATGTCATCTGTTCTCTCACAAGAGAGAAATATCCAAAATAGTACGCGAACAGAAAATTTGCAGAAACTTGCAAGTTAGACGAAAAGCTGATATAATTTTTGTTTACATAAAAAAGTGTTAAATTTAAAACGTACGAAAAGTCATCGCAAAGTGTTATACTGGCACAGTTTATTGATTAAACAAATAACTACTTATTTCTTACAAGTTTAATTAGTCGCATTTTGTAATTTTTAACTTCCAAACCATCAAATTCAATTTTGTGATTTGCGTAAATGCCAACCAGCTGTTTTTGATCAGCTGTTTTCCTGTTGGCAAATTGCTGTTGGCAAAAATTTTTCCAGCAGAAACCAGCAGCTTCCCCTCAAAATGAAATGTCACTTTGCTCTCTCAATTTCCCCTACTTTGCAAGTTTTTTGCGCACGCGAACGCAAAAACTTGTAAGTTTTGGTTAAACATGAACAATTAACAGCTACGCGAACGAACCTATTTTCAGCCAGTCCTGCCAAGCTTTTTCTTTGCCTGGGATACAGTAAGTCGATGTTCAGACACGAAAACTTTTATTGCGTAAACTCGAAACTTGTAGCCATCGTACAGTTTCCTTAGTAAAAACACTATCTGCTGATTGCCAAAAACTGCCTACAGCTGAGATCACCTGTGTTTTGGCAGCCGCTCTCATCTATTACAATTTCTTTCATTTCTATTACAATTTCTTCCATTTTCATTACAATTTATTCAAAATACACTAACACATTGAAACAAAAACACCAATACACTAAACAAAAGCGCAACTACAGCCCAAGATTCAATAATTAACGGTTTGCTCTTTAGTGACATTCGAGTTTTGACACTCCCTTAGCTTACAAAAGCTTTGCACACACACATGAACCCACACACCCTGCCTTGCTAAGGGAGCCGATTTTGTCAAGAGGGAGCGAGAAAACTGCTTTTTGAGCAAACCTTTTTCTATTGAGTCATGCCTACAGCTTAGTATCCAGCTCTTAAGAAAAGCAAAAACTCCATATAAA